AGACTGGAATTTATAAACAGGGATCATATCATTCATATACAGGTTCTGGGTTAGTGTATCTCATTGAAATTGTTTGCGAAGATGTATTCTCGCCATTTCAATCATTAACCTCTATATTTGTTTTTTTGTATGAATGATTCATGTAATTATAAATTGAACTGCACCTATAATCGAAATATATATATATATATATATATATATATATATATATATATACGTATTACTTCAAACGTTATTTTAGTGGATTGTCTTGTTTGCATAGACGCCCCGTTTTCTAAACTGTGTTTATTACGTCTACTGGTTTGCGCACTAGAGACAACTTTATAATGAAGATATGCTCTCTTAGAAGAAGCCACCGTCTTATCAGCGTGATTTAGACCGGACACTCACAGAGATGGTCACACTGCAGGAAGGTTCTGTTTTCCCCATTTAAGGTATGCAAATTATTCTGATTTTCTCGAAATTCCATATGAATCTAATTTCTCATCAGAACCGTAAACAACCCAGTTTCTAAAGAATTAATAGATTTTATTTATTAATCGGGCATATTTTTTTTTATTACACCAAACGTTATTTTTAATTTGAATATCCGTAGTTCAAGTCATTTTCCCATTGGTGGCTAGGATTAAATATATACTTTTGTTATGGTCGTTGAGGTTATTATTATCTGTGGAGTTTTGTATTTTCTTCTGTGGGTCTTGTATTCTTTGCGTTTAGCATGACTCCATAAAAGCCAACTTCGAAAATAACTTATCCAGCTTTAACTTAAAATTCACCAACACCACTTTTAAAATAATAAGAGATATAGTTAACAGTAATCAAGATAGAAACAACAGGACAGAAGTAGGAATATACAGAATAAATTGTGCAAAATGACTAATGGTGTACAATGGCGGAATCTAACAAAGAAGACCAAAGAAGAGCATCGCAGATTAAATAGAGAGGTAAATATCCTTTTCTTCAACTCAAAAACTAAGACAAATAAAAGATGCCACCCATCCATTAACCCCTCTTTTAATCAATTTTTTGTGGGTTTTTAAGCAACGATTCATACCTGTTGTTCTACATTCATAACCTTGTGCCAGGCTAAGCTGTGAACATAAATGTCATTTTCCGAAGAGTGGTGATGACCCGGCTAGTTTGAAAACCTGTCTTACGGCCTACCCCGAACTTGAGACCTTCTGCTAAAAATAAAACATTACGTTCAGTAAACTGTCTACAATTAGCTAAAGTGATAAATAAAAGAACATATAAAACTATGTATTGATTTTCTTAACGTTGCTGATTTGCATACGTGACTGGAATAAATGCAATAAACCGACTATCGGCCGAAAAATGGCGGCTGAAATAAACATATGGATGCCCAACAAAGCTGCTTTTATTTATATTATTCGGGCTGTTGTTCTCATTTTAATGTCAGGTTCAGAGCCGTTATACACTCCGGCCTTCTTCAGGTGATTGAAATTTCGAACTGAACCCTTTATTTCGTCCACCGGGGTAGATTGTTCTAGATCCACGTGCTCAAGGACACATGACCCAATGCATAAAATCGTTGGTTGGATCAACTGACTTGAACCAGAGAGTTGTGAGTTCAATATCTGACTGCAGCTAGTGTTAAACAAAACCATAGAGAGTTGAATTAAAGTGAGATAACTGAGACATCCGGAAGAGGCATGGCACGTGGAACTAGAACAACCTAACCCCGGTTGACGAAATGTTTTTTTTTTTTTTTTTTTTAAATGAAAAATCTTTCTCGGAGCTTTTAGTTATAATTTCAAGCTAATAGATTAAACTTAATATTTGCAATAAGCAAAATGATTCGCTGTATTTCAAAACTAAATTGATTGGCAAAAGTTTTTTTTTTTCTAAAATAGCTGATTAACGCCATTCTTAACCATCTTTCATCACAATGTAATTCTCTTTATAAAAAAAATAAAATATACTTTTCTGAAACTTTATTTGAAGAATATTAGCTGATTTAAATTTAATTAATTTAATTTGAAACAAATTTAACTTACTTTAAGTCTAAAATAAATCAAAAATGGATTTTTAAACACGTCAGTATCTGTTTATTTCAGGTATTGACAGATGGAAGACTATCGAATGTTTTTCTACGGTGGCTATATTTGTAAAAATAATTAAATATAACGTTAGCGCCTTTTTTATATAATTTTTAAGTACTCAGTAATATTTGAAATAGATAAATATTCTCTGCAATCTAATGATTTATTGAATTTTAAATACTTTGAAATTTACTACAGTTATCGCTCTTATTTTTTGATAATGTCGTGTATAAACTTCCGTATCTACAAAAATCGGCACATCAAAAAAATTAAAAATTCTTTTTAAAATATTGGCGTTTGATGACAAGGTACCTCGGTTGTAAAACAAGTTTTTTTTTGTTTGTTTTTTTAATGTTGTATTGTTACTTTCCTTTTTGGCTTCCGAGTCATGTAATTTAATAATTGTGTGTGGGAAGGAATACCCTCTTTTATACAAGTTTCGTTATATATATTTAATGTTTCGTTATATATATATATATATATATATATATATATATATATATATATTTCATATTTCAAGTTTGGTTATTTATATTTCATGCTAAACGCAATTGTAAGCGTGTTGAGGTATGTCTACCTGACTACCTAGCGGAGTTGAAGCGCGTTGTTAATAAAAAGCTTTCTCCACTTTCTCATATATATATATATATATATATATATATATATATATATATAGATATATATAGATATATATATATATATAGATATACATATATATGGCCTGACGATTGCCTTTAGCATGAAACAAACTGACAACCCTGAGTGTTGACTTCAATGTCCACTTTTATATTTATATACGCTCTATTTCTGATATTGAGCATTTTAACCCCTGAACATATATAAAATATATTTTATATATATATATATATATATATATATATATATATATATATATACACATATATATATACATTAAGTCCGTAGCGTAAAGAGAACTAATTTTATTACACAACAAATATTTACTGTTCAACATTTTTTAAAAAATTTAAGTTTTTCTCTTTCCTTATCAATGTACTTTACCAAAAAGTTATCAATTAATGAGGTTGAACAAATATGATGCAATTAAATAATTGATATGTGTGTGTGTGTGAGCGCGCGCGTGCTTCGAAAGGGCTTCTTCAGACTAAATAATATTTTTATCGATGCAATCCTACACGCAGTTGAAGGGCGTGAAATATAACAAACCGTGTCGTTTACAATCTTACATAGAGAAAACGATGAAGACACGAGGACGCTTAACTTAAAATGTAACAGTGAAAATGGATATCAGATGTAACACGAAGAGAAAATAATGACCTAATCAAGTGATTGACGTTCAACACTACTTCGAACAAAAGGTTAGGAAGGAAAGCTCCACCAATGGTGGAAACAGCAATTACAGTAGATTTGAAAAGTCTACCTTCCTGAAAAAAAAAAAAAAACAAAGAAAAACAAAAACAAAGAAAAAAAAACAACTGTTTTGCTAGAAAGATTACATAAATTTCAACCCACTCGCTCACTGATAGGTCAATGGATGCCGAATCTTCGATTACTCTTATAGTTACAAGAGTAGAGAGAAGACGTTATAGATGAGTTAACAAAAAAAAGATGCTAAAAGGAAATAAGATAAAAACGGCCTTGAACCAAATGAATCTAGACACTATCAGACGAAATGGAACCATTAATATATTTTGTAATAACAACAACAACAACAACAGCAATAATAATAATAATAATAATAATAATAATAATCTCCACCCACGTTTGAACGATTTTTTTTTCTTTTTTGTCCAATCTCTAATCTTGTACAAGCTGAATTCTATCAAGTGAAATTTGCCTCAAGGAATAAAATCCTTTTAAACAGTGTTGTTTCCTTTCATTTCTGTCAGTTCTTCTGCATTTCAAATTCTTTCCGCTCATGACACTTCCTTTGAACGACCCCCCCTTCCCTTCCTTTAAAAAAAAAATAATAATCTGATATATAAATAGAATTTTCGATCTAAGCAACGTTTGTGTGCGGATATTTATTAAGCAGATCTACGTCCCAAACAAGTCAACATATACTAGTTAGACAAAAGGAACACTTATCATAACCGACGCGTTTCGTCCTTTGAGGGACTTTATCAATTCAAAAATAATATAAAGTCTCTTAGAGGACAAAACGCGTTGGCTAAGTTTTCCTTTTGTCTTTTTCATATTGTCCTTTCATATTGTCCTTTATAAGATAGACTGTATATGAATTTTTTTACCTATACCAGTTAGGTTTGAGCATGTGAGTATTTAAATGTTGTTTTTTTTTTAATCAATTCACCCAAACATGGCGATGATAACACGAAGACGCAATAGGATACGGGGACGAAAAGAGAATGTGAAAAAGTTAGGAGGATTCGGAAACCCGATCCTAAACAGTAAACAATGCATAAACCTCTACTCCTCTCCAAGAGAAGGGGAAGCAGTGTAAACCAGACGATAGATGTACCTATCGACTCCGTGAAAGTGGTATGGGACGTGATCTGCGTGGATAATATTGGGATCTGTCGGAGGATATTTTCAGAAGAATATAAAAACCAAAGGATTTCTTTAGGTTGATTTTAAGTTTATTGAAGGGCAAATTAATAAAACAGTTTAAGTTTTTAAGTTTTGTGTAAATACTTTTTGAATTATTGTTACGTATTTGAGGTTTTCTCCATATAGTTCGGTGTATTTGAATTTTTTAAAAACTATGTTTAGATTGATCGGTTTTCAGATTTTTTTTTTATATTATAAGAATCTTTTTCTAAGTTAATAATGGTTTAGTGACACAAGTCTTACTAATTACCCTATGGGGAGAGGAAGCGGAGGCCATATCTTTCCCAGGAGTACTTGCGCGTGAATATAACGAACCCAACTAGAATTGGAACACGGTTCTCCGATTAACAAATCGGTGATATTATCAATTACACCAACCGCACATTCAAGCTTACAGCACCGGGTATTCTCAAGCCACCCATTTAGGTACTGCCCAGGCTCGCTGTTGCTTAACTTCGGTGGTTGTACGGATCCGGTGTTTCAACCTGATGTGGCCGCAACTCTAAAACTATTTTTAGTTTTAATATTTACTTTTAGATGTAAAATGAATTTAAAGTGATTTTATGCAACTGAGAAATTATTTGAGGTTGATTTTTTATTAATTGATAATTGATTATTTAAAAAAAAAATCTTTTTTTTAATTGTTGAATAAGCATTTATCATTGTGTCATATAGATACCTAATGCTTGCATAAATAAATAAATATCATTACAACTACGATCACTATTGATATTATTAATAGACTAGCAGGAGAGCCCGGCGTTGCCCGGGGATGTAACAGTAAGAGATAGATCAAGTATCGACCATCATAAAGACTGAAAAATAAAATTGACAAAGATTATTGTTTAAGGTTGACGGACACGCATGTCTTAATTTTTTTTTTTTGTTTTTTACGAATTGGTCAAACCCAAACTCAAACAAAAACATTGTTTTCAATCGTTATGAGTCAATTGAATAAAATTTATTATAAACAATTGTCTTGTAAATGGAATTTTTAAAGCATTCTGAATGTAAAAATAAAGAAAAAAATGTGCAAGACAATAAGAAACACTACCTGCCAAAAAAAGTGAAGTTTTGTTGAAATCGGTTGAAAAATGTAGGAAATCCGATCCCATATATAAACGAACACACACACACACACACACACACACACACACACACACACACACACACACACACACACACAACCTGGGTTTTATAATAAGTATAACTCGATATGAGTTGTTCCCCTTTCATTCTTGCGACAGCGATGCCTCTTATCGTGTTTTCAAATTGATTTCGTGTAAAAACAATTGTGTTTTTTCAATTTTGGGCGCTATCAGAACCACCGCAAGGTAATTTTACGTAGTCCTGTGAAGTTTTGTTGAAATCGGTTGAAAAATGTAGGAAATCCGATCCAACACACACACACACACACACACACACACACACACACACACACACACACACACACACACACACATAACCTGGGTTTTATAATATGTATGATTTAACCAATGTTAGGAAAATCTTAGAAGTGTTGCACATATCATTCATTTAGATTTTTTAAAACGCAATGAAACACTACATGCACATTTGTACGTCTATCATCTGCAACGTGTACATAAATGTTTGATTGAAAACTTTCGTGCGCTCGTCAATAGAAAAAATGTTCTCACCCATGACAACGTAAGACTACACACAGCAAGAAAAATATTTGGGAATTCAGTTGGTCAGTTCTATCCAACCCGCCATATTTACCTGATCTTATCATGGCTGATTATTTATCTTTTTTCAATCATTGCCAAACGTTTTTATGTAGAACCCTTTTCTCTAATGAAAACGAGACTCAAGACTTCAAATCTCTTTCATAATCTGCGGCATCTTTACTCGACGAGCTGCCTGATAAGTGGCAACAAGTCATTGCAAATAATGGCGAATATATAATTATTTAAGTTGTAATTTATTTTTAAGAATGGAGTTGGTGAACGAAAACGGAAATTATTTATGGCTAAACCTAATTAACTTCGTATTCGATATTGTCTGGAAAATAATTTCTTTTGTCATCATTTCACCACAGGCAAGGCAATAAAGCCACAAAACTCAAAGAGGTACTGAATATGAGAGAAAATGAGAAAAAAATTATTAGAGAGAGAGAGAGAGAGAGAGAGAGAGAGAGAGAGCAATAAAGGAACAGGAATTAAGAATTTAGAAGATAACGTTTGACAATGAATTAAAATGTTTGAAGATCAAAGTTGACTGGAAAGAGAATTCCACAGGCGAGAAGTGTGAGAGAAGAAAATGTTAGCAAAGAACTTACGGTTACATCTAGTCATTCCAACTGTAAAGCGATGAGACCTGCGCTTAAATTCATAAAATCTAGGTACTATAAAGGAAAGTTCATCAGAACAAGCGCCATTTAAATATTTATGGAAAAGTCTACATTACGACAATGGGAAAGTGAAGATGAGTCGAAATAAGGCAACAGACCCCTGAAGATAATGCTAATATTACAGTAGGTTAAAGCATGAGTCGGAAATCGTCTGCGCAATTCGAAAAAAAAAAGAAGAGATTTAAGGTCCAGAAGGCAAGAATGTCATGGAAACAGATCAGAACTTGAAAACCAAAAGAAATCTTGAATGAACATGCAGCTCAAACAATATGCCAACTCGCAGAAAATTTCGATGTGAAAACGTAGGCGGTTTTATAATAAATAAATAAAAATGTCTTTTAAGTAAGAACATAAAGGGATATTGCTTCATAAAAAAAAAAAAAAAAAACATCTTCATGTTGCAAATGCGACGCAGCAAGCGATCCTGGTATTGGGACGAGAAGCTATTCTTCATGCAAATTATTTCCCTGGCTTTTCACCTTCAGATCATCACCAGTTTTGATCCATGCAGCATCACTTTCGTTCAAGGCTCGCGAACTACTCAAAGTATGAGGTAACTAAATGCGGTGCGTGATATGAATTTAAGTGAAGATGGTAGAAAGTAAAGATTATGAGAATAAGTAGGATAGATAAAGATTGACCCTTGGCTTGAATAGGTCAACAATTCTAGCAAGTTTATGATTCCGAAAAATTCCTCATCCAACCAAAACCGTAACCGTTCTCTTATGATGGAATACACAACTCAGCTGAAAGATAACGTAAGATCACAAAACTTTACACAAAATAATTTGATAACTGTACAATAGTGCTATGCGAATATCTCTTATATGGAATGTCCCTGAAAGACGCAGGCGATCATGGCTCTCCACCTTTTCTTTATTATCTGTGGATTGTCATGGCTCCTTGGAAAATATAGGGGAGTAATTTGCTGTTGCTTTCTTCATGGTTTGGAATTCAGTATTTTCTTTCTTGTAGACTGGTTGCTACTCAAAGCCATAGAGCCTCGTTTACTGTACTATTTAACCCATAGCTGGAAGTAGAGTATACGGATTCGTGAATTTCCTAAGAGCATTAGTAAGAGTGAAAGCAGCAAGCAATGTTGAAATTTGAATTTGAATTCAGCTACCGGTTTCACTTCCCACATATAAATAAAATTTATATTTTTAAAAGAAAATCAAAATAGCAGGGAAATCACACGTTACCAGAGAGTAATTAACGAAATATTGGAGTGAATAAAATTCTAACCAATAAAGAGTCACGCCTTGTATTCTCATTTAATCGACACCCTTACTTCATTACACAATCTGCTCTTTATCTGTAAAGCTTAGGTAGCGATGGGTGGTATTCTATCAATCTCACCATTGATTCCTCTTCTTTCTCGTGGATTTATTGAATTTTTGTGTCTCTCTGGTAATAATATGTTTTTGAATCTTTCTCATAAGCATAATAAATATAATCATATACGATGCCCAGGCATTATAAAGAGTGTTTCATTGAGACGTATTATATATAAGGATGTTTCATTAAGACAGATCAAAGTCAGCAGTAAATAAATCAGTGTTATTAGTGAAAATTTATTTATTTCTCTGCTGGACCATGTTATCTAAGTCATGGCAATTATGTGTGAAAATAATATCGCCCAAATGTCCGCCAAATCTGAAAGAAAAAGAAAAAAAATCATTAGACGCTTAAACTTAATTGACATTTAAAATCGGTCCAAGTTATTGGTACTTATCCACCAAGCTACAATCAAAAACAGAGACTGAAGCCCTCAGATTGGAACTCAAATTCGCGACTGGCTTTAAGAAATACTTAGGAACCCTAAAATGAAGAACAGGAACTTTGACAAATGCTTTGTGCAGGGAATAATTACAGCGACAATGGATTCAAAAGACAAAACTACGCTCCCACGGAGATATGTTAATCGTTTGAGCCCTGACCACTGCTTTACCTGTGGTAGTCAAAAATGATGTAATGCCTAGCCACCGATTGAACAATGGTAGAGAAAAAGTACTTAATGCGCAGCTACCGGTTAAACGGTGAGTAAACACTTCTAATTATTTTTATATCTATCGTGAAAAACGACATACCAATTATTTGAGAATTTTGACCAAAGGAGGTCAGGCCGAAGGGTTAAAATTGTTCAGGAATGCAGGGATCAAAGGGTTAAGCAGCGATAATCCTTCCATGTTCCAGTACCTCGTAATCGATGACACTTTTCATACTCCACCAGACCGCTTTTGACGTAATGTTTCGTTTAAGTTGCTGGCAATAAACTTAACTCTTTCAGTCCTGACCACCGCTTTACCGGTGGAAGAGAAAAATGACTTAATGTCCAGCCACCGGTTGAACGGTGGGTAAAAACTTGTAACTATTTTTATATCTACTGTGAAACATTACATACGAATTATTTGCTGATTTTGACCAAAGGAGCTCAGACAGAAGGGTTAAAATTGTTCAGAAATGCAGGACTCAGAGGGTTACAGCACTTGAGAAACTATCGAAAAACAAAAATACCACACTCGCAACATTTGACAAGGGGCGGGGGGAGAATCCTACTCAACACCAACTCTTATAAGGATAAAATGAAGTTTTACTTCAGGGACCCATATATTTATGTGAAAACGTAATATTTCCCTTGAGACAGAAAAAATCCAATATGTTGGGCCATTGCTTTTCCCCAAACCTTTCCAGAAAGGGTTTTGCAGAAAATGACAGTGATGGCTTGTGAGAGTGGGACCACTGATTTAGACAGTATGCCCCACCCCTAATGATATCGAATCTCGAGATTTTATGATGGGGCCATATTAAGAATGCAAACTAAAGACCTTATGCAGAGATAGTAAATGGAAACACATAGAACTCTCAGATATTTTACAAAATCTGTCCAGTACGCAAGTATCAAAAACAGGATCTGAAGCCCTCGGTTTGAGACTCAAATTCGCTACCGTCATTAAAAAAAATGAAACCTAATTGACACCATAGTTAGGAACCACAAAATGATGGACAAGGGCTTTGACAAAAGATTTCTTAAAGGAACAATTATCGCGACAATGGATTCAAAACAGGAAACTATCCTGCTACAGATATAGCTTAAAGCACTTGAGAAATTATCGAAAAACAAAAATA